CCCCCCCCCGCCCCGGGGGGCTCCCGCCGTGCCCCATTAACACCATGCGCCTCTATTGCAGATGCAGATGCGATTTGACGGACTACTGGGCTTTCCCGGGGGGTTCGTGGATCGCCGTTACTGGTCCCTGGAGGACGGTCTGAATCGGGTGCTGGGCTTGGGTTTGGGCTGTGTGCGCCTGACGGAAGCTGACTATCTGTGCTCGCACCTGACAGAGGGGCCACATCGCGTGGTGGCACACTTCTACGCCAGGCAGCTGACCCTGGAGGAGCTGCATACCATCGAGATCAGCGCGGTGCATTCCCGAGACCACGGGCTGGAGGTGGGACATCCAGGGAGGGGGTGTGTAGAGCTCTGAGCGTTAGCCCCAGGGAAGACGAAGCTTCCCTCCTAGGTCTGCTGGGCTCTCGCAGCCCAGCGGGGGAATGCACCGCATGTAGAGCTGCCGTCGGCGAGTGCCGTGCACCGCCGCGTAGCGCCGGCGTTAGGAGGTCTGGTTGCTGGCTGGGGTTGTGTCTCGGGCTCCGGAGCGTAGCGAGCTCGAGTTCCGGCCTTTCCTGGCGACCACTCGCGTAGGGAAGAGCCCTATTTATCCGCTCAGCCTCAGGATGCGGGTGAGGGCCGTCTCGCAGCTGGTGGGCATCTCCCCCCGCCCTGGGCTGAGTAACCTGGACCGGAATCGTGACCCTCGGTGCGGTGATGTGTTGCTTGAACCCGAGTTCTCCCTGGCTTGCACGGAGGCAGTGCGGGAGGCAGCCTTCCTCCCGGGTAGCAGAGTCCGGCTGACGCCCCAGGGTACAGCGTGAGAGCTAGGGTCTCCTGGTGTGCCCCCGCGGCACTTGGCAGGTTTCGGCAGCTGCGTGGATGGAGGCAGTTGGCCCTGGGTTGTGGCTGAGGGGGACGTGTGGGTGAGCCGTGGTGTCCCCAGGCAGATACTTGCATTTTCTTGAAATGCTATGAAAACACATTTGGAGAAAGGTGACAGAAAGGCACAGAAATCTTCACACTTGTCGCTCATGCAGAAGAGAAGCAGAAGAGAAGCAGTCCTTTGATAATTGAAGATCATTAATTTCAAAAAGGCTTTCTACATCACACGTGGTCCAATTACAAAGAGGAGGCCCTGTGCACCTTGTGCTATCACCAGAATTTCTACAGATCAGTACTCAAAGGAATCAGGTCTTTTATTTGAGCTGTGCCTAGACTTTGGTGTCTTTACTCAGACCCTCCATCTGGGATTGCCATTTAGCAATTCTGAGCTTCGGACAGTAAAATAACAAATCAAAATACACATTTATCTCTCAGGACTGCTGCCTCTATCAATTATCTTACTAAGTTATTTTGTGGCCAAAAAGTGGAATTCATTAATTCAGTGTTGCTTATTCTAGATCTTTTGTTAGATGAATGACATGAAAAGAGATACCAGACCTGTCAAAATGGAAACAGTAAAAAAATCCTTTCTGACAATATTTAAGATTTTACATCATTGTCTTTGTAAAGGAATCAAACTATCGATTTGATTTTGGTAGCATTTTATAGTTATTTCTGCAAAAGAAAGAATCTTGCATGTAAGAAACTTGATTTGCAGACTTAAAACTCATTGGACATTATTCATCTAACAGAGACCTGCTACGATGTAGGGGTTGAGCCGATGGAGTGACGCCGCTGTGTTTGCGCTTGATTAAAAGTGGGTGAGACTAGAGACTTTCTTCTAACTTTCCGACCCGTCGCTGGCTGCAGTTGCTGCCCACGCGATTCCACTGCCCAGCCGGGAGGGTTTGTTTGAAGCAGGGGACAGCTATGTATTTTTATGGCCATTAAACTCTAGCGAGCTTCCCAGATCAACCTGCACAGCCCCTGCAGAGAGTTCATGTGCTTACGTGAGGGCGCTGAAGCCTTAGAATTATGCTTTGATTTCAGGGACACACTGCTGTTGTCAGGTCCCTGGTTCATTTTTAAGGAACAAAACGTCTTATTTTTTAAATGCCCCGTGTTGACTTCGATGTGGCTGTGTGTGCAGCAGACACAGCTGAGGGACAGGGCTGCTGGTCAAGCAGCTCTGCCAGCATCGGTGGAAGGGGTCCCCTCTGCCGGCAGCGGTGCGGTCGGGCTCCCGCTCGGGGTGCCAGCGCAACGGGGTGGCGTGACATGAATTCCCTCTGGGGCACTGGGGGAGTGCTTGTGTGGGTTTATACCTGGAGATCTGTGGGAGCAGGAAAGTGGAATAAATGGCTTTGCTGAACGCTTTGCAGTCAGGATCGTTCATGACTGCCGGCGCAGAGCCTGCGGCCACCCAGCACTTTGGGGGTGCAGGGGCTGGGGTAGCACAGCGCCTGTCGGTTCCCTCTGCCTTTTGCTGCTTGCTGGACTGTGCTGGGGCGAGAAGCTGGAGGCACAGGGCAGTGCCCAGAGCTGCTGCTGGCAGCCCCTCAGCTGGGGGAAGCTGGGGCAGAGGGGGCAGGCACAGTGGGGGCCAGCTCAGGGGGCTGCCCCACCACAAACCCTTGTTAAGCTTTTGGTGCTGGGTTACTCCAAAATGGCTCACGGACCCAAGGGCCCTGAAGCAGGGGCCTGGGGAGAAGCTGCTGTGCCACTACAGGTGGCAGAGCACCTCCTGGGCACTGGCTGTGCATAGCGGGGGCCTTTGTCCTGTCCACGGGGCAACCAGCGAGGAGCCCGGCTGCACTGAGGCTGCGCAAGGCCCTGGTCTCTGTGGGGCAAAGCATTTCAGCTGAGCCTTAGTAAAATCCTCCACCCATCCAGCAGCCTTGTTGCAACATGGCAGGCGCTGCGCTGGAGGAGCTGCTCCCCATGCTCCAGCCGCTGGCTCCCTGTGCTGCCAGCTCCGAGCTGATGCCCGGCCGGGAGCAGCAGCGGCTCCCAGCCAGAGCCGGCCCCGGTGCATCGCAGCAGAGCGCAAGGTCAGGTGAAGGTGCTCGAGCAGCTGTTCAGAGACAGGTTCCTGCATAGAGAGACAAACGACTCAGAAAAAAGGTCAGGTTTAATTGAAGATGTTTAGAGAGAGGCTGACGGTGGCAGCACAATGCTCTTCAATAAATAACGGGCTGTGAGGTGGGGACGTGGCTGACACCTCAGAGGATGGGGTGGCAGGAGGACGCACAGACCAGTCACAGGTCCCCTTGGGATGTGCTCAAGTGCTGGGTTGTGTAACGGACAGGACAAGAGGGGGTGGAGGGAGACAGACATCAGTGCCAGACCGCCAGGAGAGGAAGATTCATTCTGGTCCAGAGGAAGCAAGTGCTGAGCACAACCAGGAACTTGAGCTTCTAAAGAAACTCATATAAACCAATAGATGTGTTTAAGTAAAACGTGGGTAAGCAGGGAAAAAAAAAAAAACCAAAAGCAAAACCCAAAAGTGGTAACACAAATGAGGCTGGAAGAGTGCTTCAGGTCTCCCCTGGGAAGGTGCTGTGTTCCTCTGCAGCAGTCGGGCTGCGAGAGGAGCATCAGGGACAACAGGGACAGGCAAAGCCAAGGCAACGTCTGCTCCCTGTGGGCAGAGCCGCAGGCTGGTGGTGGGCACAGCAGCGAGGGACTGGAGGCAGCCAAGCCGGGGGCAGCCGGAGCCTGGCCGAAGGAGCCAGGCGGTTCCACAGCACGGGAGGAGGGGGACACAGGGAGCCCCCGTGCCCTCCCAAGCTGTGGTGCCATGAGCAGCTCAGCGGAGCTGTTGGCTGCACAGAGCTGCCCCGCTCTTCTGCAAGCTGCTCCACCATGTCACTCGCAGGCGGGCCCCCCCAGCCCCGCCGAGGGGAACCGGTGGCAGGAGGCTGCAAACCCACCACGCTATCTCCATGCCCCAGCTGCGGGTGGCAGAGCTCCTCTTCCACCACATGGCCCAGCTAAAACCCCGAGAGGCACCTTGGCCAAAGCTGTGAGCAGCAGCCGCAGCTCAGCCTGCAGCTCCCTGCCCCGTCGCATGTCCTCTGCCACAACACTGCAGCCCTCACGCCTTACTCAGCCTGCTTGCTGTGCCCAGCACAGCTGCCTGCGCTTCTAACCTGAAGGGGAACCCGAGATGCATAGGTTGGAAGGAGCCTCTGGAGTGCTCTGCTCCAACAGCCCCAGGACAAGGCCTGCTCTGAGGTCAGCCCTGGCTTGGGGCTCCACAGTCTCCAAGGATGGACTCTCCCACAGCTCTGAGCTCCACTGTCCTCATGGAGACACTGTTTCCCCCCCACTCCATGTTGAATAGTCCTTGAGCTAGACCTACTCAAACCCCTGAAGAGGGACAGCTGTCTCCCAGCAGAACAGCGTGCCGCCGCTCCAAAACACAGCATGTGCCGGCTCCCGGGGCTGGAGCAATCTGCTTCCTGCAGTCCAGGCTGCAGGGCCACGAGGGAAGCTGTGCTCACCGGGGCTTTCTGTGCCAAAGCCACCTCTGAGCTGAGCGGCAGCACCACAGTGCCAGCCCCGCGGCAGCCGTGGGCAGAGCGGGGAGCTAGTCCCAGCCACCCTTCTTGGGAAGCAGCATGGTACCATGCACAGCAAGCGCTGTGCTCTTTTATTAACTAACTCCCACCTCAGGGGCTTACAGACGCTGAAATGACTTTGTATGGTCATCTGCACTGCAAGATCTTCACACGCTTTCTTTTCTGAGTCTAAGCCTGGCCTGTATGATGGCTTGCCCCCATGCCCTGCCCCCACCCGCTGCCAGAGGCACCTCTGCCTGTGCATACAGGTGATGCGCCGGCTGCAGCTTAGACCTCCTTTGCTCAAGTCTCAGTTTCAAAATGAGAAGGGAATGAGGAACATGGTGCTGAGCAGGGGAAGAGCCGCAGCCAGGGAAGGGGGATTTACAGGGATACCTGCACCTCTGACACGTGCCTAGGCTGGGTGAGCTGCAGGGATTCACACCTTAAAAGCATAGCGTTCGCCCAACCTCGCTCCGAGGCACAGGAAGGGTGTCCGGCCGGGCTGTGGCACACAGGAACATCAGGACCCTCCACACAGGCTGGACACAGCTGCCAGTGAGCTGAGACACAGCCACAGGGGTCCCACCGCCAGGACAGGAGTCTCCTGGACAGCCGCAGGGAGGCTGTCTGCTTGCACAGCCCCACGGTGATGCCCACACTATGGCCTGAAGCGCACCAGTGAGCAGCTGGGAGAGCTTTTCTTCAACAGGGAAAAGCTGTTGTGATCTGTGCACTGAGCTTATCTCCAAAGATCCTGCACGAGTCCAGCCCTGGTGCCACGGGAGGATGCATGCAGGGGAGGAGAAGGGCTCAGCGCTGGACTCCGCAGGGCTCTGGCTGCAGCAGTGGCTCTACACCCCCAGCTCTCCTCCCCTGCTACGTTCCAACTTGGACAGAGGCAGAAAGATCTATACAGTATAATATATATATTTCACTATGAAATAGCAATTTCATTCCCTGCCTTCTACTTGACGCATCCTGAATTAAATGCTTCTTTTTAAGTCACTGTTTCTCACGTGAGTGTTACCCTCCCTGAAGTTTACCTGCAGGCAGCAGCAGCACCTGACTTGGCAGGACCCAGACACGATCCTCACCACCACCTTCCCCTGCAACAAGGGCACAACTGTACACTCTGCCAGCAGTGGCCTGCCAGGGCGCTTACAGCTCGTTTACGTGGTTGGTCAGTGCAGATAAATTAACCTCATTCATGCTGCTTTCAGTAGCCATGGTGTGGAAGCAGCACCTGAACCCCTCTACATCACGTATAGAATAGGAGCAAACCAGAGGCAAGGGAAGTGGTGGGGACAGTGCAACATGCACACAGACCGGTGACGCAAAGGGCCCTCAGCTACGGCACAGCCAGACGCCTCGCACGACAGCCAGGCCTGCCCAGGCAGCGCTCGCAGGCTCCAGGCCACGGGGGTAAGTCAGGGCTGCAGCCCGTCAAGTGTGAAGTCTGCCAAATCTCGGTCAACCTGTGGAACAAGGAGTCCCGTCCAGGGGCTGGGTCACTGACCAAGAGCCATCATCACTGGAATCAGTGCAGAGTCGGATGGTTCAGGAGATGAAAGGAAGAACAATCCTATGGAAAGAAGAGGACAGCTGTCTCTGGGAAACCAGGCGTTACGCGTCTCCTCAAGCGTCCTGGGGAGCCAATGTCCTGAAGACTTTGTCAGAGACCTGCAATGCAACTGGCAGCAAACGGGCTGTCAGTTACTGTGCTGGGACACGGAGCTGGGGAAAGAGCGAGGACTCAGTCACTCTGTGTCTCGCAAGGTGGTCTAACAGAGCTGGGAAGAGAGAGACAGCAGGGACAGGTTCCATCTGCTGTCACGGTCTGGGCTCAAGTAAACAAGATCAGAGTTCAAATGAAACCAATAGGGGTTTGGCCACCAGCTGGAGACCAGAGCACAGCGATACGCCAGACACCTTACACGGCAGCTCGCCCAGCAGCAGAGCTGCAGCTTCGGCAGCCCTCGCTCGAGGATGCTCTCAGCTGCCCCAGGATAGCGGCCATGAGACATCACTGCTCCGTCGCTGCCAGCCTCAGGCAGAGAAGGGAGCTTTCCCTCAGGTACCTACCTTTGTTTTTTGTACATCTTCTGATGCAGTCACATTGTCCGGCTATATTCAATGCCGCTCTTGGCAGAAATGCCAGACCAGGGCAGAAGGCTGCAGAGAAGGCTCTGGGCTTGTCGATATATCCTCTGGGGAATTGAACACGGGCTCAGGCTGGCTAACGTTGATCCAATGTGCTGTAGGTAGTCAGTGGCCATCAGTTAAGGACAGTGACATTTACACACTGTAACTTAAGAAATAACTTAAAGTACTCTGCGGACTAGCACTCCCTAAAGAGACTCCATGACAGCGAAAGCTGCTTTGCTCAGTTAGACAGACAGATCTGCTCCTTGTGTTAATTGCCTGCTCCTATCAAAAGTGGCTCTCCTTTGCACCATAAAATAAGGCAACTTGGGAACACTGACTCCAACTTGTGTGGGAAATCCCTCCTCTAAGCAGCTGCTAGTTCCCTTTGCACTCACAGCAAGTTTCTGTGGGGATGGCAATCCATCCACCTGCCTGGAGAGGTCTGGACTGACTAGCTACACCCAGGGATATTCTATGATCCAACGACCTGAAATAAACTCCCAAAGTCCGTTTGAGAGCAGCGTGCCGAGATCCAGGCCAGGTGAGGGTCCCGAGGGATCCTAGGCCACAGGAATCAAGACCAAGGGCTTCTCTGCCATGCTGCTGGACAAATCCTGCACCACACAAACCAGAGCACACCCAGCACTCTGACTTAACACCAGCATTCGCCATCACTGGCATCAAACTCGCTCCAACTTCAAATTCCATATACCACTCTACACCGCCTCCCTGAACTGTGGCACAGCAGAGTCAGGGGAGCTTGGGGTCACCGTCAAATTCCTCCAACACGGCCCTCCTTCTGCCTTCAGATTAAACTCGCATCTGAGCAGGCATCAGTCCAGCCAGGTCACACTTTGCTAGATTGCCATTCTTAACCCACAGCATAGCGTGGTGTCTGCTTATCGTGTTCCACCGCTAATCAGACTGAAGGTAAAGGATATAAGATTGTCCAGGGTGGATGTCCGCCATTGATGTACAGGACGTAGGTAAAGCCATCTTTGAGGACCCCTCTGATGGAATAATAATAGGGAAGATAGTGGTGCTGTTTAAAGTCTCTGTTTTCATAGAAGTTTATTGCTGTGTTGTTAGTGGTGAGGACGTGCAGGTAGATGGCTTTGCAGTGATCTTGGGCAGTCGTTGATATATGGTCTTTTAAACTTTCAAGCAAGAGTGAACCTGTTGAAGGAAAGAACAGCAGAATCGTACAGTGCGTCTGCCTTTTCAGGGACAGCAGCAGGGTTTGTAGGTGTCAGCTGAGATCTCCCACACCCAGAGTTTAAGCAGCAATTGCTGCACATGCTTGAAGACCCCAGATCCCACCCAGTTCTCAAAGACCCTCCTGAGGAATTTAACATGACTACGTTACGTGGTTTTAATATGAATTTCATCTCACATATGAGTATGGCTTTACAAAACAGATATTATGAAGACACAAACTTCTGATTCAATAACCACAAAGATGAGCCAGACATGGGAATCTGCCAACAATGCCCATCCCCAGCTAAGCAGCTCTCGGCTTAGGGGGAAGGTCAGTGAGTCACTTTCAATGGTATCAGTTCCATCATATTTATCTATTTTAAAGCCATTTAAAACAGCAGAGTGTCAAAACAGGACTTCACAAACAGGTTACTCCATTGTGTCTGCTGAACTTGAATTAAAAATCTAAGAACTAGTAGGATTGTAAGATCCCTTCTAAGGAGGAGAGCCAAGGGATAGCCTCATTCAACCTGGATTTTCTGTAGCTTCTAGTCAGCAGGAGAAGCCAGAGAAGGGCACAGAGGATACTCCAGCCCCAAAAGATGAGACCTGGAGGTTCATCCAAACCACCTCAACACAGCACAAAGAACCCAGCAGAACCTGCAGGGGAACTTCTTCCATCAGGTGTGGTAACAACAGGCTAAAGTAATAGCTTAGCTAATATAAACACACAGATAAGATTTATGCTGCTGTTTCACAATTCCCAGAGCACAAAATTTTGCGCAGGACCCACGGGATTTCAGAGCAGAAGTCAACAGCACTAACTTTGCAGTCAGTTGATACTTAGTGGGAATTTGTATCAGCCAAGCACAAAGAGACACTAAGAGACATCAACAGCAGAGCAGTTTAGTTTTGTCATGAGATATTCCACTCTTCTGTCTCACAGAAATCCAACTGCTCTCTGGTTTAAGAATAGCAGAGAACTAGAAACCAAAGCCTTTCAATGTCTGCCAAAGAAAAATCAGCCCTTTAGTGCTTAACACTATGCCTGGGGTAAAAAGCCTCCTGCATGAAAGACTTCAGCTTCAAACACAAGTAGAAAAACTCTCAAGAGAAAGGTCTCAGAAAAAGCAGCAGCAGCTTCTTTAGGTTGTTTTGCTATAGGTACAAATCCAGAGGTCTTGAGAGAGCATGGCAACACGCTGTCTAGATGTAATGGATACAGGAAACACTGATTCTAAAAGGAGAAAATTCCAGCAAGATGGAGCTGGAAAAAAAAAATTAGGATTTGAAAACTGGAAGGAGACTCAAAACCACCACAATTTTATGGAACAGAAGACCCCTTTACCACCTTCTCTGAGTATTATTCTGTGCAAGTGTTTTCTTCTTTGTACAGAAAATTTACCTGCAGTAGCATTTCAATGCAAGTTTTAAATACAGAGCTCCCACTGAGGGCTCTTCTGATCAATTCTTTATGTATCACATCAGTCTGTACCTTTCTAAACATGACTGGGGGAGAAAGGAAGACTTGAAGACGGTAAGTTACACCTGTATCCACTGAAGAGACTCCAGATGTACGACACCGGGTCATGCTGCCAAACCTGGCCTATTTTCTTTTTCAGATCAAAAATATAGATCATGCTTGAAATTACACTGGAAGGGCACTTATTTGATGACAAAATACATCCTGCTCTAAACAGAGATAAACCCTTCTGACTGCAGGATTTTCAAATGGCTGCAAGAATGCTGTGTGTTGTAGCAGGCATTTATAGCTGACTTCTACATATATTTGACAGATTTAATCAGGTCCAAGCTACACTCTTTTTTTTTCCCAGTTCCCTTTGTCTTTTTCTAAACGTTTGTTCTATCTGTTGAAGTTGAAAGGTCTAAAAGCACCGACATTTTCTGCCTCAGGGACCATGTTTCTGATACCCATGAAAGAAAATCAGAAGCCAGGGTGCATTGGAAGCCCTTTCGTCCCCACCAGACAGGCTTCAAACCCTGCTCCAGGGTGAAGTCCTAGCACTTTCAGTCAGTCTCAGCAGCAGGAGTTCAAGTTTTTGGTGTGCTCAGCTGTCCCCTGGGAACAAAATGGACAAAGCCCCACACTCTTCAGAAACATCTGCACATTGTGTTGCGGCTATACCACTAAAAACATCTCAGCGCACCTGCATTAACACCAAGAAGGGAATGTGAGTGCATCATCTTCCCAATGGCTGGTACAAGCTTGTCTCAAAAGGCTATTGCGGTGAAATGGTGCAGCTCCTTCAGTCATGCCCACTAGCCACATGTGGCAAACAACAGCAGCAGAGTTGTCACTTAGCAGCATCTTACCTATTCCATGTTTTCTGAACTCTTTCACCACTCCAAGACTTAGGATGTAAGCAACTTGAGTGTCCACAGGAAAATTGGAAGCTAGGATGTCTCCATCCTGAGTAGAAATATGACAAGTTATTTAGTAGGATACCCGGGGAGGCACAGTAGAAGGCAAGAATCCCAGACTGGAACAGCTGAAAACAAGGCTATAGCAAGAAACTTCACTCAACAGTCTCAGCTGAAGCTTCTAAAAAGGAGGTGGGGAGAAAAAAAACCAAGCATGATCCCTTAGGGGTTATTCCTACTTTCATATCATCTTCCCAGATGCAGAACACAAATCATGATGTTTCCTCACCATATACATTATTTGTGGGCTTGGGGACAGAATATATTTGTATTCTTTACCAGGAAGGATTCAAAGTACCAATTCTAGACAGAGTTACACATCAGTGTCTAGATCAATCCAGCAATAGTCTTTATTGCCTGCACGCCCAATCTGAGCTTCGTGTCAGCTGGAGATCTCTGTACTGCTGTAGAGGACGAGGAGCATGTTCTACAGGCCCAGTCGCCTGGAGCCGTGTCTGAATAAGACCCTGGCTTTCAGCTTGGCTGGAACAAGAGCCTTTTGTTAGAGTTGCTGAAGATGCAGTTTCTGACTTTAACTAGCTCTGAGGTGAAGCCAGGTACCTAAAGTGAAGAGACCCATGCCATTCAATGTCCTCACTTCCTGTGAGTGTTAAAATTATTGTTTAATCATAACACTGATGGCCTTTTAGAAGTTATGTACTCTCTACATTGGCCCTGCTTTTTTTTTTTTTTTTACTCCACTTGCCTATGCTGTTTTCCCGAC